TAACCTGTTAGAGACAGGGCGGAAAATGGGAATGGAACTTCTGTGTGTACGTTGTTGTTGTTGTCATATTAGTTTCCTTGTGCTGCTGTAATAAATTGCATACATTAAGCAGTTTAAAGCTACAGACACTTATTTTACAGTTCGGGAAGTCAGAAGCCCCGCATGGGTCTCACTGGGCTACCGTGAAGGTGTCAGTAGGGGCACGTTGATCCCGAAAGCTCTGGGGGACAGTTCGGCCCCTTGCCCCTCCTTGAGGCCACCTGCATGCCTTGGCTCATGGCCCTTCCTCCAACCTCACAGCCAGCAGCGTAGTGTCTTCCACTCTCTCTGGAAAGCGGACCCGCCTGTCTGGCTCCTCTACATTTAAGGACCCTTCTGATTACATTTGCTCCATGAGATAATACAGTCTCATTATCTTAAGATCTGTGACCCGAATTCCCCCTCGCCCTGTTACATTACATAGTCACATCTGGGGATTAGCATAAGGACATCCTTGGAGTTTGCGTGTGGGCATGTGGGGGAGGGGATTATTCTGCCTACCACACATTTACAGAATATTTTGAATAATTTTGACTTTTGAACCATGTAAATGCTGATCCATCCAAAAGTGAAATTTAATCAAAAAGGATTACCAAAGCAAACCCAGAAGTGGGACACAAATAGCAAGAACAAACGAACCTCGCTGTCTGTCAAATGCCTGCACAGGGAAGGAGAAAAGAATTCAAATAGATTTCGAACCAGGGACTCCGCCGTCACATCCTTGAAATGAGTTCTATTTTATGGGCCAAAATAATTGCAAAGAAATCTTGACTTTTTTACTCAGTAAGTTGGTTGTTGGTAGGATACGGACCTCCAAACTAGTTTGCGTGTGTCTTAGGATCATGTCAACGTGTTGTTGTGGGGAGATAAGAACGTGTAGGGAGAAAGGAGAGAAACATGTGGTTTGGGATTTTTCACGTGACCCCGTGAAATGGCACAGAAGATGAACACCCCCAGGAGTGATGCTCACGTCTGGGCCGAGACCTTGTTTTCGAACAGCATTCTTCGGTAAAGAAAACCAGGGCTCCTTAAAGAGATGCGTGATTTCAGGGGGGATCGGGTACAGAGCACAAGGCGAGCCCACGCCGCCTGGTGGTGCCAACAGGAGAGAAGTGCTCAAGGGCTGGTGGGGACACGTCCCAAGTAAACACAACCCCACTGCCCAACGTGGGGAACTGGAGCGTCACGCAAGCCAACCGTAAAAGACTGACCGGTCTTGAATTTACAAAGAATCTTTGATATGAAAATAGAGCATTTGGGGTTGGAAAGCAAAGCACTTATTTCTAGAGAAGAATAAAAGATAACAAATATAAAAGAAATGATGAACCTGGAAAATCTACTTTGTGGTCCTCGGTGTAATCACTGGTCAAGGCAGGGTCGTGCACGCGTGTCAACACCATGATATGGTGCAGAGAGCAGCTTCCTTCAGCCAGCGGTGAGGTGATGGCACACAGGGTATTTACATTGTTTCCGAAATATCATCCCACAGGTTTACTCCTCGGATACAAGTGCGGCTCAATACCCACAACTCAATTAATGGGATACACCACACAGGTAGATACAGAAAAAGCATTTGACAGAATCCAACACCCATTTATGGTAAAAACTCTCAGCTAAGTGTGGCCCGAGGGAACATGCCTCAGCGTAGTGGAGGCTATGAATGACAAACCCGCAGTTAACATCATGCCCAACTGTGGAAATCTGAAAACCTTTAGTCTAAGATGAGGAATAGAAAAAGGATGTCCATTTTTCTTTTTCTTTTTTTTTTTTACCACTTTTATTCAACATAGCACTGGAAATCCTAGGCACAGAATTTATGCAAGGAGAATAAATAAAAGGTGTCCAAATTGGAAAGGAAGAAGTAAAACTCTCGATATTTGCAGATGACATGATAATATATAGAGGGAACTCTAAAGAACCCACCAAAAAACTATGAGAACTAATAAATGAATTCAATAATGTCATATAATGTAAAATTAATATTCAGAAACCAGTTGAATTTTTATATGCCAATAATGAATGATCAGGAAGAGACACCAGGAAAACAACCCCATTTACAATTGCATCAAAAAGAATAAAATACCTGGGAATAAATTTAACCAAGGTGGTAAATCTGTGCTCACAAAACTATAAGATATTGCAGAAAATATAAATAAATTGAAGGCTATACCATGCTCATGGATAAGAAGAATTAACATCATTAAAACATCCATATACCGCAAAGCAATTTACAGATTCAATGCAATCCCTATCAGAATACCAATGGCATTTTTCACAGAACGATTGAACAAACATTCAGATTACTGAAGTATACATGAAGTGACATAGTTTACATTTTATGAAAACAAAGGTTGAAGAAACATTTATAAATGTCACCTTAAATAGAAGATGGCAAGTGTAAAGATGCTTATCTCCTAAGACATTTAATTTATGTTAATGGTCCAGGAGTGTTTTAGATATAACTATAGATAGAGATATAGACATGTATGCATATATATTTCAACAAGAAGTGTAAAAATTGTTGAACAGCACTCATAGCTGTTTTACATAAAAAGCACTTAGGGTCATTAAGGTGTCCAGCTATTACACTCTAATATGTATATTTTTTAGAAGACTGAAATGGCCATCAGGAAACCCGCTGCGATCCCTATTAGAGGCCCATTTTATTATGTCCTATTACTGATGTGTCAGTTCAACATACTTCCCTTTTCTTCACTGAGAGGATTTGTCCATTCTGTGTGGCTTCACTTGTGGGGGTCTCTTCCTCCTCCTGCATTCCTTGGTTAGAGGGCATCATTTCCCTGTCAGTTAAAGTTCAGGGAGTCCGGCCGGTGTGGCTCAGGGGTTGAGCATTGACCCATGCACCAAGAGGTCGCCAGTTCGATTCCCGGTCAGGGCACATGCCCAGGTTGTGGGCCCGATCCCTAGTGGGGGCGTGCAGGAGGCGGCCAGTCGATGTTCTGTCTCATCGATGTTTCTGTCTCTCTCTCCTTCTCCTTCCCTCTCTCTCTAAAATCAATTAAAGGAAAATAAATTGTCTTTTAAATCAGGAAAATGGCTCAGGTCTTCCTGTAGTCATCAGTATAGTAAAGATGGAGACATTCGTCTTATCACAACGCCTGAAAAGTCACAGTGACTGTGATCGTAGGAAGCACAGGGGCATCTCGTTTTCCAGGAAAGCCCAAGGGAGCTGCAGGTGGACGAATTCTCTACGCTTGCTACAATGTTTCATTCTTACCTTTTTCTTTCATAAAGACGAGTGTAAAGAAATGATCCATTCCAAATGTCTTTGATTTGAACATAAAGGACAAGCACATGTCAGTATCTCTTATGATGGTGAAAACAAGGAGTTACTAATGCAAATACACTTTTCATATTAAACTTTTCAAAATGTGCCTTTTAAGAAAAAAAAATTTTTTTTAATAAAATAGCTATAAAAGACATTGGGACAAGAGGAAAAAATTTGAATAGGGGCTTACATTAAGAAATATCAATGTTAAATATCTTGCAGATAATACATTGTTTTTCATGTAGGAAGTGGTCTTACTTTGTAGGTACATGTTGAAGGATTTTTTAGGAGTAAATTCAGCATGATGTCAACAACTTTCGATTGGTCAGAAAAAAAAAAATGTGTGTACAAATACACACAATGACACACAAATGCAGCAAAATGTCAATACCTGGTGAATTTCAGTGATGACTGTTTCCTGTGCCACGTCTTCAAGATTTCTTTAGGTTTGATTTTCAGAGTAACAAGTTGAAGGAAATTCTTTATTGGGCCCATGGCCTTCTTGGTACTGTTCGGGTCTGTTTTGTTTGTATTTCCAGTTGTGACACTTTCCCTTTGTGTTCTACATGTATTTCTGGCTCTCTTCCTGGGGTCTCTCCCTTGACACCCAGCTCTTTCCTCTGGGTCTCTGGGCAACGTGTTTTTTCCGAACACGTACGCTAGTGAAAAGAATCACGTGAATGGAAGAATTATTGTCCGTCCATCTCCGTGGAGGTCCAGTTTACAGGAAAAACCTTTGAAAATAAAATGGACACGTCATATCTGCTTTCTAGTCGGCCCTCAGTAAATATGTGCGTAAACAGACGTGTGTTTTATAAGCTTCTAACCAGCCTCAGAATATCTGATAGCAGCAGTAGCACTGCAGACCCTGCCACAGACCCGTCGAAGGGTCAGGTCTGAGGAGAGGGCCTGCATCTATGTATTATCGGGTCGGCCATGCTCTTCTGTAAACTACAGGTGAGGTGACGTCCCTAGCAAGCCCTTCGGGGCCCCTTCCTTCTCAGAAAAGTCCCCTCCTCTCCATTGGGCGCAGCTCTGCTGGTGGGGGTTCTTTGCCACCTGCCTGCTCTTTGCACTCGATTCCTGCCCACCACTCCCAGCCCACCTCGCTGGCTTTTCTCGGGGTTCCCACCGCTCCCCTGGAGCACGACTGTCCTGGTGCCCAGTGTGTGTCCATGAGCTCCCACCTGTTCTCACGTCTAACTCTCGCGGCTCATCCAGTAGGTGGGACAATGTTCTTTGCAAAATACATATTTTTCCATGACTCTCTGAGATACCAGGAATTCTAGAAACTTCTGCCATCAAATGGCTCTGAGCTTCAGGGGTCTGTGTGAGGCTAAGGAGGGGGTGTTCGGGGTGCGCAGCGGGAGCCCCACGGCGGCCAGGGAAGCCCGCTTCCCCCGCTGGGCAGCTGTGAGCCGGGGACACGCTTTTGAACGTCCCTGGACTCCGCTGTCCCGTCTGCCAAGTGCAGGCGCTGTCCGCACCCACTTCAGACGGCTGTGAGCCTGAAGGCAGCACCAGAGAAGCGCCCCGTGTTGTCTGCGTTCGCTCCTCAGCATCACCTGCTCTGGAGACCAGAGCCGTGGCAAATTCTCTTTTCAAGCTGCGAACGAGGACCCTCGCAAAATAATGTCTTCTCTTTTGGTTTTCTCTGTCTCCGTGGATTCAGGTCTCCCTGGGACTTCTGCACGCACATGCCACACACATCCTGTGGCCGCCGGAGCGCTGGCGGAGACTGGAGTCCGTGCTGCCCCCGGAGCGCCTGCCGGTCCAGACGGAAGACAAGTGACCGCGGGGACCTCCCCGCGCAGCTGGCGGGGCAGCGCCCCCGCCGCAAGACGGCCCCGTGCAGGGAACACTTCTGTCACATTAAGATGATGGAAGATGGAGTTTGAAAATGTTAAATGGTATTCAATGGCACCTGATTTTGTGATAGAGTATAATACCTATTGTTTTATGCCAAAAAAAAAAAAAAAAATTCGATTCCTGTATGCCTTCTGGGGTGAGTGGGAGATTTTGCTGTTGATTGTTGGGTTTTGATTTTGCCGTTTGCTGCTGAAAACAATGTGAAAATGAACATTTGATTAAAGCAATTGCTTGAGTAACGTCACTGACGCTTTAGATGGAACACGAAGGAGCCTATGATACACGGACTGATGGGAATTACACTGTAACTGACATCCACAAGGTGGGGCTGCCAGGCGGGACGAACAGTCAACTGTGATGTACAAATAAAACACCAACTTGCTCAGGTACTGTTTGGTGTGTTTGTCCTCTAACCTGTAGGTTCTCTCATGAGGAGTATCTTCTCTCCTGTGGAGGACCGATCCTATCAACACTTCCATACGACCAACCCTTGCTTAGTGGCCCTTTTTAATGAAAACTTCCGAGTGAGCTCATGGCTGTTGACATGGATGAGTAAACCCACTTATCAATATCTGGTCACAATGTGGTAAAATGTTTCTAAGGGAAATGGAAGGAAAAAACAAAATCCCTCTAGATCAACCCAGTCTGACTTTTGCCCCAGTGATTTTTCAGTGTCGTGTCTGCAGTACTGAATCACCCACTGCCGAGCGTTGTGACGTTAGCACGGTAGGTTCTGTAATTGAACAGATAAGAAGGCACACTGCCCGCATGCAAGTCTGTCTTTATGAAGCTTCTGTTCTTCTCCTTCGCATTGATTGGAGCTGATGGAAACGAAGTCTCTGAACCAATCTCCTCTGCATGCCAAGTCTCATTTTCTTCTGTTTCATCAGCAGATATAACCCCAACCAACGACCAGCCATCTTGCAAACTCATGAGCTCTCAGGAACAGAGGAGCAACGGCAACAACATGTGCATATTAGCAGCATATGTGACTAGTAACGATGTGCTATCATCGCAATAGGTTGTTCACCAAGCTCCAGTGAGTTCCTATGTACCAAGGTTGGCCAAAATTAATGTTTTAAAAGAAGACTCGCTTAAAAATCTTTCAATAGATCTTCATTATCTGTATCAATTGTTCAATTCAAACTCACTTCCTCCCCAACTTGAACTTCATGCTCAGGCCTTTAACTGCAGTTTGCCAAATACTCATTGCTATTTCAAGGCTGGTCATTTTTTTTTTCCTCTTGGCAAAGTGCAGGCCCTGACATGCTGTGTCAAATCTTGAGTGCATAAGGGTATTGGTGCTTTACTTGCTAGAACATAGGAAATTCTGGGGACCACACCTGAGTGATGCCAGAGGACGAGGTGGGGAGCAAAGGGAGGGGTACTTGGAGTAGCTGATGTATACCACTGTTTTGGAAGAATCTGACCTTTCACCAGGCAGGCATCCTGTTGATCAGCCAGCTTACTGACTACCCATGTGACCCTACTCAACTATGAGTTACAAGATTATAAACTTCGGAGAGAAGATACATGCTCCTTCTCCTTAATTTCTATCCTTTGCATCAAGCACAGCACCAGCAGAGTTCATACTTGATGCTGGTTGAAGCATGCAGCTCATGAGTTACTTCCTTGAAAATGCACTTCCAGGCCGAGTTGACCACTGTGCTACCGGGCATATGCTTCATGAGTGCACCAATCCCTTTCAATATTCACCAATGGAGAAAGGGTCCTTAACTGCTACCACCACCAAGACAGAGCAAGAAACAGCAAACCCAGGACCCCCATCTTTCTGTGAAAGAGGCCTATGAGCTGATATTCACAGCTGTGACCCGAGGGGCAGACCTCTAATTGAACACACATCTAAGGTCTGACCGGAGTCCTTTTCAGGGACTCAGAGGGTGGACACTACCTCCGTGCTCTCTCTCCCCTGCTCTACAGAGTACCACTCTCTCTCAAAGACGAGGCTTATGAGTGTCTGGCACCCTGGTTTTTATGCTGCCAGCCAAGGAGACACCCCTTGATCACCCAGCATTTGTGGCCAGAATTCCCACAGGACTGTGACAATTGGAGAGACAGTTCTTGGTTCGCGTTTACTGTAGAGCACTACATAGACCGCAGACTGAAACAAACCCCCACCTCTCTGTGCGAGACCAACTTTCTGATCCTGAAGCTATGCTGAGGGGCGGGTATCTGGTCTGGCACATAGCTGGGGGCCTACCGAGGCAGGGACACCAGTGATGGAGGTCCACGGGTGCCACCTTTGCACTTACCTGTGCCTCGCTCCAGGTCACCAGCATCTCTTGGAAAGGAGCTTATCTACTTGTCTGGTGCCTGATTTTTGTGACTGCCACCCAGGGAACACTCAGGCCACCTGGTGGCCAAGTCGGACTGTATCTATGTGCATTCTTTAAAAGCTCCTGCCTCACGGTCTGGCTTCCAAGCTTCCTGAATCTAGGTGCTGACAAAGACTCTCCCCTTAGGGACACATCCTTAACTACTGGGAACTACTAAAAATAAAATAGGCTGCTTGGACAATCACAGAGCTTTGAGAGACAACAAAGAGCTAGAGCAGGGTAGAATGATAAGTTTCACCTCCTAAATGAGGCTATTCCTTTAAAACTAGGAAAGGTGGCAATTCTAGCTAAAGCATAGAAACCAACACAGAGTCAAAGAAAATGAAGACACAAAGGAATATGTTTCAAATGAAAGAAAAAGATAAAGCCCCAGAAAAAGTCCATAATGAAACAGAAATAAGATTTGCTTGATAGAGAATTCAAAATAATGGTCATAATGATGCTTACCCAACTCGGAGGAATGCAGTTGGAACTTCAACAAAGAGATAAAAATATATAAGAAAGAAGCACATGGAAGGCACAGAGCTGAAGAAGACAATAACTGAATGGAAAAATACACTAGAGGGATGCAGCAGCAGCCCAGATGAAGCAAAGAAAGAATCCATCAAACCCAACACAGCAGTGGAACTCACACAATCAGAGCATCAGAAGGAACAAAGAATGAGAACGAGGCCCTGGCTGGTTTGGCTCAGCGGTTAGAGCGTCGGCCTGCGCTCCAGAGAGACCCAGATTCGGTTCCCGCTAAGGGCACGTACCTCGGTTGCAGTTTGTCCGCGGCCCTGGTTGGTCGTGCGGGTGGCAGTCACTCAATGTGTCCCTTTCACGTCGATGTTTCTCTCTCTCTGTCTCCCTCCCACTCTATCTGAACAAAAAATGTCCTCAGGTGAGGATAAAAAAAAGAATGAAAACAAGGAAAGATTGTTTAAGGGAGTTATGGGACAATACAAAGGAAACCAACATTCTCATTATAGGGTTCTATAGGGGAAAAGCAAGAGAAAGAGGCAGAAAACTTATGTGAAGAAATATGGCTGAAAACTTCCCCAACCCAGGGAAGAAAGCAGACCTCTAGATCTAGCAAGCCCAAAGAGTCCCAAAGGAGATAAACCAAGGAGTCCTGTACCAAGACACATTATCATTAAAATGTCAAAAGTGAAAGACAAGGAGAAAATCTTAAAAGAAGCAAGAGAAAAATAACTTGTTATGTACAACGGAACCTCCAAAAGACCATCAGCAGATTTTCAGCAGAAACTTTGTAGGGCTTGACATGCTATATTCAAAGTGCTGAAAGAATGAAAACTTTCAACAGAGAATACTCTGCCTGGCAAAGTTGTCGTTCAGAATTGAAGGAGAAATGGAGTCTTTCAGACAAGCAACAGGTAAAGGAGTTGATCATTGCAAAACTAGCTTTACAAGAAATGTTAAAGGGACTTTTCACAGATGAAATAAAGGGTGCTAGTTAGTAATAGAAAAACATATAAAGGTATAACTCACCCGTAAAGACAAATATAAAAAAATCTGAATTATCTAACATTATAAATCTGAATTATCTATTTATCACTTACAAGTGCAACACGAAGGTTAAAAGACAATGCTACCAAAAGTAACTACAGCTATATTAATTAGTTAAGGGATACACAAGATAAAAAGATGTAAAATGTGACATCAAAACCGAAAAACATAGGGAGAAAGGACAGAGAAAAACTGTAGCTTTGGATTGCATCAAACTTCTTATCCGCTTAAAATAGATGATTATAAATATAAGTGGCTATATGTAAGCCTCATGGTAACCACAAACCCAAAACCTACAGTAGATATACAAATGAGAAAGAGAAAAAAATTAAGCATGCCACTACAGAAAATCATCAAACCACAAAGGTAGGGAGAAAGAGAAAAGAATAGAAGACATACAAAACCTCCAGAAAACAACAACAAAAAAAATGGTAGTAAGTACATACCTATCAATAATTACTTTATATGTAAATGGACTAAATTTTCCAATAAGTTCAATGGATTAAAAACAAAGACCTATCTATAAGCTGCTTACAATAGACTCATTTCAGAAGTAAGGACACAAACAGACTGAAAATGAAGGAGTTGATGAAGATAGTCCATGTAAATAGAAACCAAAAGAGAGATAGGGATCTTAGACTCATATAAAATAACTGACTTAAAAGCAAAAACTGTAATAAGAGGCAAAGAGGGGCATTACATAGTAAATAAAATAAAATCAGAAGTGAAAGAGATGTTACAACTGATACCATAGAAATACAAATGACCATTACAGACTACTGTGAACATTTATACAAACTACAAGAAATGGATAAGTTCCTAGAAATATACAACCTACCAAGACTGAATAATGAAAGAAATAGAAAATCTGAACAAACCAATTACTAGTAAGGACATTTAATCAATAATCAAAAACTCCACCAAAACAAAATTCTAGAACCAAGCAATTTCACTGTTGAATTCTACCAAACATTTAAAGAATAATTAATTCTTCTCAAACTCTTCCAAAAAATACAAGAGGAGGGAACATTTCCAAATTCATTTTACCAGGCCAGGGTTACCACGATACCAAAACCAGACAGGAACACTGCAAGAAAAAAATAAGTTACAGGCCAGTATCCCTTATAGCTACAAAAATTCTCAGCAAAATGCTAGCAAATCGAATACAACAGTATATGAAGAGGATTGTATCATCAAGTGGGATTTATTCCTGGGATGCAAGGATAGTTTAACATCTGCAAATCAATCAATAGGATATACCACGTTAACAAAATAAATGATAAAAATTTTATGATCATGTCAATAGAGGCAGAAAAAGCATTTGACAAGACCCAACATCCATTTATGATAAAAATTCCCAACAAAATAGGTATGGGGGGAACATACCTTAACAGAACAAAGGCCATATATGACAAGCCTACATATCACATCACACTCAACAATGAAAAGCTGAAAGTTTTCCCTCTAAAATCAGGAATAAGGCAAGGATGCCCATTCCCACCACTTTTGTT